ACCCTTAATCCCCTCAGCACTTCTACTGAAGAACTTAGCCTTCACTATGACAGGCTGCTTTGGGCCCCTTCCCTTTCCCAGACTTTGTAGTAGCCAATCGCACCACATCAGTGATAGGAGCAGCTCCTGTCTTGTTTTTGGCAGCATGTACCTGTGTTGTCTCACTGACCAAGGTCCACTGTTTATCAGGGTTGACGGTGGAAGCTCTGGTTCCTCTTTGAGTGGTAATGCCTCATGCCAACTTTCCCAAAGGAACCTGGCTGATATTTGATGAAGTTGGTCATGTGATGATGCACACTGCCAGCATTACCTCCCCTCCTGGGTGCTTCCTGTGCTTGCCGATGGGCCATAGTTCATGTGGCCCCAATGTTTCCAGGTCTTCCTCAGTCTGGATGGCTTATTGGTAGCCAAGATGCAAGAGAACAAGAACAAGTGGTCTTGAACCTGCCTCACTGGAGATGCTGAGGGTGGTGGTGGCAGCTCTCCAGTGGCTACCTGGGGTGATAAATGACCTCAGCCAGGATGACCCCCAGCCCAGTGTCTGTGGCTCCTATCACACCTGCCTGTGCCAGCTCTGTTTACTCTGTTCTCCTTCCCAGCTGGTTTTCAGGCCCCTTCAGAGCTGTGATTCTTTGTCATGTTTCCCATGGATGTCAGCTTCTGCTGGAGAGCCATCTTGGGCTCTCATGATTGCTCTACTCAAGGCATGTTTTCACTCCCAGACTCCTGCGTCCCAGCCACCCTTGACCGGCTGCCCCTGGTGTGGTCAGCTGGAGGTGGCCATGTCAAAAGGTGTCTCTGCCTTAACACCTGCATTGTGTTTGGAAAGGGGGGGGGGGCACTGGAGCATTTAGTATAGCACCAGCATGAGGTCTTAGCTGCTACTCAGTGGAAATGTGATACTGTTAACATCTGTAGTCATTAGAAAGCGTTAACAAATGTAAGCTCGTGGGAAAGTGATCTTAATTTCGTGTCTTTAGTGTGTTTGAGACTACTTATGTTTGAATTTAATCTTGAGTGAAACTTGGATTCCATGAAGGAAAAACAATTGTCTTTACTTAATGTGAGACGTAAGATTTTGCTCAAGTACGTCTGAGGGATGTGTTTGTGTGTTTGGTCTTGACCATCAGACCTACTCTAATGATGAACAGAGGCTCTGTCTCAGCTCGTGGTGCATCAGGTTCCTAGCTGTGCCACAACTGCAGACTTAGCTAAAAAGCACACTTCTTAGCTCAGTTTCCATGGGTCAGAAATGGGCCTGGCTAATCCAGGCCCTCTGCTCAGGGTTGTCCTACGCTGTACTCCAGGGGCCAGTGGAGGCCAGAATCTCAGGCTAGGTGGGTAAAGATCTACTTCCAGAAGCTTTCACTTCTATGAAGGTGTCCTATGCTGTTTTAGTGGCATGCTTATATTAAAAAGGTATTTGTTTATCTGAGATTCAAACCTAATTGGGTGTCCTGGATTTCACGTGCACCCTCACCCTTAGAGCCCAGCTACGGGTGGCCCTCACAGTAATTCATGTGCTTTGAGTAAACAAAAGATAAGTTTTTACTCACATTCAAAATCCTGTTAGCGTCTCTTGATTACAAACAGTGTCTTCAGTACTAAAAATAGTGGTTTTACAAAGTACCTTAACTGCTGGAATTGCTAAGTCTGAAGTCATCTGTTCTGTTTTGCAGATTGCAGAGGCTCCTGCTGCTGCAAAGTGTATTGGGCCGGGGTGCTTGAGTGTGGCGCAGCCCGACTCTGTCTACTGCAGCAGTGACTGCATTCTGAAACACGCTGCCGCCACCATGAAGTTCCTGAGTGCGGGGAAGGAACCCAAACCCAAACCCAAAGAAAAGATCAAGACCAAACCAGAAAAGCTCATTCTTCCCAAATGTAGTGTTCAGGTAAGTTGACAACCCCTCATTTGAACAGTTGAAGTGTAAGCGTATCCATGTTCCAGGCTTGTTTGTAGCCTGTACGGGACAGCAGCATAGTAAGTCAGGTGCTGTCCCCTCCTATTTTCTGGTCTTTTTGTCAGAGTTACTTGTGAGCATATATTCGCACGTTTTCTTTTTTAATCCTCATCTGAGGATATTTTTTTCCATTACTTTTCAGAGAAAGCAGAAGGGGGTGGGGGTGGGGGGGACAGAGAGAAATAGACTGGTTGCCTTCTGCATGTGCCCTGACAGGACAGGGAGTGAACCCGAAACCAAGGTACTAGCCTTTGACTGGGAATTGAGTCCATGACCTTTCTGTGTGAAGGCCAACACACCAGCCAGGGCTATTCTCACATTTTCTTTTCTCTGCCTTCTAGCTGAGGGATTGACTTAATATGGATGCAGTAAAGCAAACCCAAGCAGCTGGCTGCTGTCCCTAAGCCAGCAGTCTCCCAAGAAGTATTGGTGACTATTGGAACCAATTGGGAAGCGAAGTCACAGCCAGCCAACGGGTGGGGGGTGGGCTCTGAGGCAAGCCTGTCTTACTGTGAACCTGGCTCTCAGATGGCCTGGCTTTGAAACACGTGTGTGCTTCAGGAATCACAAGCACTTGCCTTCTACTTGAAGGCCCTCCTCAAGTTCACTCAGGTTGGCATGGCTGTGGGATGACTCCCATTGCACTTGTGACAAACAAGCCTAATGGAGAGTTTTCTTGGCATATTTAAATGTGTATTTAGCCTTAAGATAGCCTAATGTTTAAGGCTGGTAATTTTGAGCCAGAACTGCTGTGCCCAGTAAGAGTGACCCTGCAGGATGCCTGATGGAGAGCACGGAGTGTGGGGACCCTGGACTTGTTGCCCAGAGTTGCCCTTCTCCCTGCAGTGTTGTGGGCACATTCTCACAGAAGCCATTCCCAGTTGGCTCTTGCCTCCTTTCACCACCTGTTCAGCGGGCTTGCTCTGTGTTACCCTTGCCACCTCGCACCTCAGCAGGATGACAGGTTATTCTGTGTTGGGCCTCACGTCTCTCAGAGGTTGAAGCCCATTCCTGCCATTACGGTGGAATGCTGAGGGGGCAGCTGGTGGCAAGTGCTGCTGAGGCCTGGTGCTGAGCAGGTGGGCCCAGGCGCACAGGGTGGGGAGGGGGCTTGAAGTGACCCTGAGCATGTCCTTACCTTCACTGAGAAGGGAAGTTAGCGAAGGTTGACTTTTGACCTCCTTAATGATTGGAGTTTTACTGATTATTCAGGCAGGCATTAAAGTCTCTTCTGTGCACAAGAGACCTGCTCCAGACAAGAGAGAGAACACTGTGAAGAAGGCAGTGGTGGCCCCTGCTCGGAGTGAGGTCCTTGTGAAGGAAACAACTTGCGAGAGCAGCACGCCGTCCTGGGCAAGCGACCACAATTACAATGCAGTAAAGCCAGAACAGACTGCTGCCCTGTGGCCGTCACTGTTGTATAAATGTATGTATCACCTAGGGGTGGCCTCCGGACCCTTTCCCGTCTTTCTGGACGGCCTTCCACTTGGGACTGTCCAGAACTAGGAGGTTTAGCCAAGCTTAGTGCTGCACCTCCAGGGATGGAAGCAAATACCCAGGAGCCCCATGGGCTCGCCCTTTGTCTGTTTTCCACAAAGCCCTACAAACCTCAGTGTTCAGTGTGGCACCTGGTGGTCGAGGTCTAATCTTTTTCATTATCAGGCACTGGTAAGTATTTGGTATTGTTGCCAAGAAAGCCCAATGAACAGGTACACTTGCCTGGCACTCCAAGTTCATCACCATCTATATGACAGGTACATTATATCACAGCCCTGTTAGCTGTACAGTTTTCCACACTGCCCTTTAGCATGTGTGGTCATCACTTCCTTTGTATGTTGGGAGCTCTTTTTGCAAATTAGTGTTGCACGGATAGTGACAACTGAAGTACAATTTCTGAGTGGAGAGAAATGTTTCATATTCAGTGCACATACTACACATCCACATAAACACACACTCCAGGTCTGAAGGCAATGCACTGAGCTTCATGTGTCCCAGGTAAGTGGGTAAGGTGTCTCCTAAAGCAGACTGCCACGAGCGGCTGGCCTCCGGACTTCTCTGGGCGCTGCTGGCCCTCCCCCAAATGAGGGATTCAAAGTATTGCCAATCAGTCTTTGAAATCCCAGATTTATGCAGCAGTTTTATTTGTTTATGCAGCAGTCTTTTATTTTTTCAGACTAACTTTCAAAAATTAAATTGATCTTCAGGGCACGTCGTATTTTATTACTAAGATGATTTTTACTTCGTTTTTATTTGTGCTGTCTTTCATACTGTTTTATACCTTTTTTTAAAAGCACCGAAAGGTTAACAAGCCCTGAATTCCAAGGTTATAGCAGTGTGCTGCCTTCTCCCTTTAGTCCTCTGTCAATGATCACCGAGGGAAGGTGCTTGGAGGTTGGTGCTGTGGACTAGTGTAGTTAGAAAATGTGTAACTAAATACTCACTTTGAGAATGTAAATGGCCCAAGACCTAATTGCAAACTAATACTAGATTTTTTATTATTTTAGGAATAAGTTGTTAAATACAGTTAATCACTTGTATTAAAATGAGTTTGATACACTTTAGGTTGTTTAAGAATTTCATGCTAACCACACGTCTCAAATTTTCAAGTTGTAGCACCTCTACACAGTGGCACTTTTACAGAGGCCGTGAACATACTTAAAAACATGCATCACTTAAGCGTGAATGGGTTGTGGGTGGTGGCTCTGGAGTCCACTGTAACTGCTCTAAGTGGGTTACAGGCTGCAACAGACTCAGGAAACCCAGGCACAGCTGCCAAGGCCCTGGGGACTGATTTCCGTCTGTTGACTAGAGCTGGAAAGCTGCCCTGAGGTGCCATGTGCGAAGTTGTGGGGACTCGATGGCTCTCTCCCTGGACATGAATCCCACTGTGATCTTCAGGGAAGAGAGGAATGGGGGAGGGTCCACCAGGGGGCGATTCCTCTGCTCACAGACTGGGTTTTCTTGTCTCCACCTCTCTCCACATCAGCTCCTCCCTGAGATGGGCTTCAGTTGACAGAAAGTTGAAACTAATGGCTGACCCTTCTTCCTAGCACACTGACACCTCAAAATTAAAACTGATGGATATCCAGAATTGATCAAATGCATAGGGGACATTTTTTGAGCTAGTTGCTTTTGATCATTTTTTTTTTTGTTGTCCCCAAAATGTCATCTTCCCAAAAGATGATTGGGAGGGAACAGTAAGAGGGTCATTGGTAAAAATACCAACTTCAGCCCTGGTGAGTAGCCGTTGTGTCTCTACCTCTGACCAAGAGAGCATCCTTTCACAGTTGTGATAGTGGAACAGTGGCAAAGCGCAGTGCACACACAGAACCCTATGTCCCCACAAGGACCCCCGCCTGGGCCCCTGCAGAGTGGGCTTTTCTGGGTTGGGGTGGTGAGATTCAGGGTGCTGCTGATGCTGGGACACTGGCCTGGATACATGGACCCTCCTTCAGCCCAGAGAGCCAATATGCTGCTCCTGGCCGCACCCTGGGCTTCTCTCTTTCCCAGTCCCTGGTGCTGACCTTGGGTTGTGGATACAGAGACAATTGTCAGTGAACATGGTGGGGGGCCTTCTGTTAAACTGCGTAGAAGCTCTTTCCTCCTCCTCATGAAAGTATCAGTAGGTCCTTCGTGTTCTCAGGATAATGCGATTAACATAGACTCATTCCTGATTAATTTTTTAAATTGCTTTTGAGGTTTTCTGTACTTGTGGAAACAATTGTTTTTTAAATTTCTCCCCCAAATCAGTCATGTTTGTGCTTTTATAGTTTTATTTTTTTTCTTAATTTCCACTATTGATTCACTTCCCATTACTGTTAAGGCAGAGAGAGAGATTAACTTTTTTTTTATTCTTTTCCCTAAAATGCCCCATTATTAGAAAGAATGTGGACATGGAATTGTGGTATTCATAGTCATAGGCATAGTTTCTAGAATTTTGGACTCCTTAAATGGCTCATCAGATGACTTAAAACACTGGGGATCTGAACAAATTTTGACTGAAATGTGAGATTTCTACAGTTTCATCTAGCTTTGAGTATTAAAATGGAAAACCCTAAGAGAACCAGGACACCCGAGTCTGGATGGTTTGTTGAACATGTTGCCCAGATACAGCCTTGCCCCCCCCCACTCCATTTGCGGCCATGCAGATCGTCCATGAGCTGTGGAGAAGTGGATGGAGAACACGGACTCTCACGAGGGTGACTAATGGTGTGGGCTCCAGGAGCACATTTCACAAATCATCAGAGGAAACAAGTTTCCTGTAATATGTGGGGATCCTAGAACCCAAGCATATTTTGTAGACATTTAAGGCGGGGGTGGGGGGGTCTTGTGTTTTATCAGCTGCGTGAGCCATTCTTACCTGTCTCTTCCAAGATTGTCAATTTGCAATAAAATGTGGCTGGGGGTAAACCAGACTTCGTACATACGAACCAACCCCCAACCCCCACCCCACCCCAATTAGAGGAAAAACCAAAGCTTGTACTAATGAAAGATTTAGTTTGACAACTTTTTAATGCTCTCCATACAGGTGTAATTTTCTTGGTTGTCAGTGACATTCTTTTGGTATTTTAAACTGTTGTACTTTTCACAACATTAAAATAGCCAACTGTTTAGGAAATTAGGTTGGGGAATGGTTTCACATGTACATAAACATTTGAGATGAAACACCTCAGCAGCACCCTGTGCTGCAGCCCCTGGGGAGAGAGGGAGGACTAGAAGTTTTCAGCTCAGGATAGGTCCTGCTTCCTTCACCTGCTCTTCAGTGACCTTCATGTGACCTTGTGGAGCTCTGGGTCTACTCTGATACAGTTTGAAGATTAATGCTCTGGAAAGTCCCTCTGGTGGCATCATCAGTGTCAGAGTCCAAGGTCCCCTCTCAAGATGCTGCAGGTCTTCCACTGCGCTGCACAAGTTTCGGGTGTATGTGTATCGAGTTGTAAAATAATAATATTGATCTTTGTGCATGGCACAAAACCATGCACGTAGTTATGTTCTTAGCTTCTGAGAATTAAAGAAGTGAACTTAGAAGACGGATAAGAAGTTTTGCCACTTTCATTTGTTTAAATGAAAGAGCAACTCTCATTGCGCAGGTGGACCCGGAGGAGCTCGGCAGGAAGAGAGCCAAGGTAACTTGCTGCCTAGCTGCTGCATATGCACGGCCACCCGCCCAGCCACCCAGGTGCCCAGCCACCTGGGTGCCACCCATGTGACCCTTTGTGACCTGGAGTTCATGGGGAGGGTCTAAGGCCCCTAGCCCCCATCGTGTTGGTTGAAGTAGTAAACAATTTGGGCACAAATGTTGGTGAGACTGTAACCTTACTGAAGTGAAGAGACTGTCTGGCGACAGTCAGTGCTAGATGGCGGGAAAGCAGCAGCTGTGCTTCCCAGGCCACTGCACTGGGAGTGTCTGCCCTTCCCCTTGAGTGACATGCCGGCTCCCACGAGGCCTTAATCACATTTTTCTAGTGCTCGTGATGATGACTAATTGGGCCGGTTCGTATGCCACCTACTAACCCAATGTGAATTTTCAAAACAAAACGGAGGGCATTGACCTCCAGAGATCAGAACTTGGGTTTTGCAAGTTTCTTATGGAGAGTTCCATGCACCTCTCCATTTGCGGTGTAAATCACCCAAGTACGACATCCAACAAGTTATAAGTTTTGTGAGGCCCAGGCCGCAGCTGTTCAGACCTCATTAGAGGTGTCCCTGTGGCCCAGAGCCTCCAGTCCACAGCGTGTGGAGGCGCTGTCCTGGGAGTTGCTGTTCTCTAACAAGTGAAGCCGTGCTGTCGAGTAACTCCAAATACTGAAGCAAGAGGACGAGAGCAGGGCGCTTTCTTGCCGCTGTTACCTTGATTCTTCACCGGGAAGGAGGAGTAGGAGACAGCTGCAGTGAGAAACTCCATTCATTGTACACGGGTCCTACCGAGCTGAACAGAACTGATGTCCCAATGAACAGAATTCACACCCACACTTTCTCCAGTGTCCTTGTTACAGTGATCCCTTACAGTGTCTGACTGCTGAGCAGATGTGGGACCCAGTGGGTGGTGATGGTGTGGAGTCCTCCAGTCAGTGGGCAGCTCCAGGGAGGGGACAACCCTGCAAGGGCCTCCAGTCACTCCTCTGCACCTGCCATGTGGTTGGTTCACTGACACACCACTTGCTCACTTGATTTCTTTGGCTTTTACAGCAAATCATTAAGCAGGCCCACCTCAGGCATCGGTGTGACTCATATTTGGGATTTTTTTTTGAGTAAACTGGCACATAGGATAGGACAAGGTGGAAAGCAATATGCAATTCCTCTGAGGGCTTCTCAGCAGGTGCTGTGCCTGTGCAGGGTTGTCCTGTGACACCCGTCCATAGGTGTGGGTGATGTGGGCTGTGCTGGCTGGGTGTACCCCCATATTTACTCCCAGTCCTAAAACTTCTTTGAGCATCTGCACAACCTACACCCGGGACACGGCAGCAGTACTGGTGGAGACCTGTGTCCTCCAGTCTTCACTGAGGGCCACCAGTGCCACCCAGTGGCCAGCGATGCGGTAGCATCAAGGCACCACAGCCTGCCTTGCTGTGTGACAAGGCCCCTCACTTTGCTTACTGGGAAATGAGCCAATTGGAGAGTTGCTGATTGCGGGTCCCTGGGAACGCTAGCCTACTTAGTTCTACACTAGGCCTCGTCCCAACCTTCTGTTCCCATTGCCAACGTGGCCAGCAGGCAGAAACAGTCTGGAGCAGTGGCCAGGCCCATAGGGCAGCTTTGTCTCCTACAGTGCTAAGGTGTTGCAGGCTCCCCAAGTCAGCCTGGCCTGGAGCTCAGCAACAAACAGGCCCTGGGTGTGGGAGCTAAAGGCACCTTAGCTGCCAGGATGGCCCAGGCTGACACCCGTGGCACCTCTGCCCGCACTGCAGTGACTGCTGGTGCTGCCAGCTATGCCACTGCAGATGAGCAGGGAGTTGAGCAGCTCATGGGGGCGTCTGTTTCCTCTGAAGCCACCCCAGCATGGGATGTGCTGCTGCTTTTCTAGAATGGGTTCTTGTTACCAAGTTATTCCCTACCCTTCCGAAAAGGTATACCCAAGAAGTGAATTTTGGGTGAAGGTTTTACAAATTCGATTTTAGCTCTACTCAAAAACAGTGTTTCTGTCATTGTGAGAACATTCCAGCACTGCTCCGGGGCCACTGTCCAGAATGTCCCAAATCCAGCTTTTAGTGGGGCCACATGTGCTAACGTGTAGCAGTTGCTACATGGAAGTTTTTGCGTGTTTGTCTCTTCAAAGTAGAAGAGGGGCATGGCCAACTTGCTGTTGGAGTGCACCAGTTTCAGACAATAAATTGTACCAACTTATACCCTGGGAGGGCAGATAAGGGATAGTGAAGGTTGACTTTTAAGAGGCAAAGGCAACTACTACTATGAAGTAGTATGCTGGTTAAGGAAAGTCATCCCCTGCTTTTTAAATAGATTGGTGTGTGTACTGTTACCGCTCTTAGGTAACAGGTCATATTAATAGTGTGTTGAGAATGTCCTAAATGTAACCTCTTGATAGGCTTTCCCTAAATGAGGGAAAAAACACCAGTTTGTTAGGCGTCCTCTCAAGGTTTTTGGAAGTACCGTAGGCCAGCTCTTTAGAGTTATTTAAAAGTGCGCTACTAAAATACTCAGCAAGGTTTGTGTTTGTAAAAAGCAGTGACTGAACTGGTTTCAGGTCCTAGTTTTAATCGTCAGCAGTTCATTCCTCCATGACTGCCAATGGTTGGCTTCCTTGCCTGGTGCTCAGTCACCTCCCTCTGCTAGCCCAGCGCCTTGACACTCAGGCAGCACTGGCTCCTCGCTGTGCACCAGCCCCTCCCCCTGCCGCTTCCCCTGCAGTGAAGGTGCTGCAGACCTCAGCCACATCCGGAGCTGGTAAAAATGAATTCCCAAGTGCTGACCTACAGTAACTCCTTAGGTATGCGGACTTGATCTGATGAAGTAATACATGTAGAAATGGTGCTTTTTCTTTGTACCTGATGTCCCCTTTCTCACTTTGTCAGACTTTTGGAGTGTGCTTTATTTAGAAACTCAGCTCCCAAAGGAATGAAGCCTTTAGACGTGCCTTGGTGGCAGTAGACATGGGTAATGACAAGCAGGGTGGGTGGAGAAGCTGGCTAGCTTAGGCCTGGGGACCCCAGTGAGCTTGGGGGTCTGGTGCACAGGCCACCTTAGGCAGGGGTGGGCAGGGGATATAAGGGCTTTGAGAGGAAACAGATTTAAAGTCAGAATTGATGCTGGACACAAAGGACTAACACTGTCCTAACTTTTGGGTCCAGTGCTGCTGCTGTGCACAAACTAAAATTGGGTGATTTCATTCATACTACTAAGTAGAAGAAACTTGAGGTCCCTGCGTGATTTTGGGAAAGCTCATTGCTGAACTGGCCTCTCACCTGCTGCTGCAGAAGGGACATCCCTGAGGGTGTTGGCTCTGGCCCTCTGCCAAGGTGGCCACCGCTAGTGGTTGTGTCTGTGCAGGGCCCTGGAGCTGTGAACACCCTGGGAGGGCCGCATCTGTAAACAGGGTCTCACCCCTCTCACCAGATTTCGAACTTTCTCCCTGGTTTGCTGTTAGGATGAGCCCTGGTGGCTGGCTGGTGATTGATTTTTAACCCCTGGGTAAAATTGATGGGTCACTGTAGCATATACTGACACTCCGCCCCCATTGGGTATCTGGGAGTCTGAGAGCTCACTGCTGCACAGGTAGTTTGAGAGAAACCCACACCTACGGAGGTACCTTCTCTGTCGGTTCCATGTGTGATCTGGTTAGTATCCTGGCTCAATCATTGGGCCCACCTGTTCCCACCATTCTGTGCCACATGCGGAACAAGGCCCATCTGTAGGCATACCAGCTGACTGGTCAGCCGCACGCCCCTGGGACAGGGACTGCAGCACCTGTCTTAGAATTGTCTTCTTTACCTAAGACCTTAATTCTGAGGGCCTGACAGGATTAATACAATCAGTCCTTTAGCGTGCTCTCTATTTATTAATCCTCACCTGAGGATATTTTTTTTCCACTGCTTTTCAGAGAGAG